TAGAGGGGTGATCTTATATAGTCACAGTACATAGAGGGGTGATCTTATATAGTCACAGTACATAGAGGGGTGATCTTATATAGTCACAGTACATAGAGGGGTGATCTTATATAGTCACAGTACATAGAGGGGTGATCTTATATAGTCACAGTACATAGAGGGGTGATCTTATATAGTCACAGTACATAGAGGGGTGATCTTATATAGTCACAGTACATAGAGGGGTGATCTTATATAGTCACAGTACATAGAGGGGTGATCTTATATAGTCACAGTACATAGAGGGTTGATCTTATATAGTTACGTTACATAGAGGGGTGATCTTATATAGTCACAGTACATAGAGGAGAGGGGTGATCTTATATAGTCACAGTACATAGAGGGGTGATCTTATATAGTCACAGTACATAGAGGGGTGATCTTATATAGTCACAGTACATAGAGGGGTGATCTTATATAGTCACAGTACATAGAGGGGTGATCTTATATAGTCACAGTACATAGAGGGGAGGGGTGATCTTATATAGTCACAGTACATAGAGGGGTGATCTTATATAGTCACAGTACATAGAGGGGTGATCTTATATAGTCACAGTACATAGAGGGGTGATCTTAAATAGTCACAGTACATATATAGTCACAGTACATATGGAGGGGTGATCTTATATAGTCACAGTACTTAGAGGGGTGATCTTATATAGTCACAGTACATAGAGGGGTGATCTTATATAGTCACAGTACATAGAGGGGTGATCTTATATAGTCACAGTACATAGAGGAGAGGGGTGATCTTATATAGTCACAGTACATAGAGGGGTGATCTTATATAGTCACAGTACATAGAGGGGAGGGTGATCTTATATAATCACAGTACATAGAGGAGAGGGGTGATCTTATATAGTCACAGTACATAGAGGGTAGGGGTGATCTTATATAGTCACAGTACATAGAGGGGTGATCTTATATAGTCACAGTACATAGAGGGGTGATCTTATATAGTCACAGTACATAGAGGGGTGATCTTATATAGTTACAGTAGTCACAGTACCTATAGGGGTGATCTTATATAGTCACAGTACATAGAGGGGTGATCTTATATAGTCACAGTACATAGAGGGGAGGGGTGATCTTATATAGTCACAGTACATAGAGGGGTGATCTTATATAGTCACAGTACATAGAGGAGAGGGATGATCTTATATAGTCACAGTACATAGAGGGGTGATCTTATATAGTCACAGTACATAGAGGGGTGATCTTATATAGTCACAGTACATAGAGGGGTGATCTTATATAGTCACAGTACATAGAGGGGTGATCTTATATAGTCACAGTACATAGAGGGGAGGGGTGATCTTATATAGTCACAGTACATAGAGGAGAGGGGTGATCTTATATAGTCACAGTACATAGAGGGGTGATCTTATATAGTCACAGTACATAGAGGGGTGATCTTATATAGTCACAGTACAAAGAGGGGAGGGGTGATCTTATATAGTCACAGTACATAGAGGGGTGATCTTATATAGTCACAGTACATAGAGGAGAGGGATGATCTTATATAGTCACAGTACATAGAGGGATGATCTTATATAGTCACAGTACATAGAGGGATGATCTTATATAGTCACAGTACATAGAGGGGTGATCTTATATAGTCACAGTACATAGAGGGGAGGGGTGATCTTATATAGTCACAGTACATAGAGGGAGGGGTGATCTTATATAATCACAGTACATAGAGGAGAGGGATGATCTTATATAGTCACAGTACATAGAGGGATGATCTTATATAGTCACAGTACATAGAGGGGTGATCTTATATAATCACAGTACATAGAGGAGAGGGGTGATCTTATATAGTCACAGTACATAGAGGGGTGATCTTATATAGTCACAGTACATAGAGGGGTGATCTTATATAGTCACAGTACATAGATGGTAGGGGTGATCTTATATAGTCACAGTACATAGAGGGGTGATCTTATATAGTCACAGTACATAGAGGGGTGATCTTATATAGTCACAGTACATAGAGGGGTGATCTTATATAGTCACAGTACATAGAGGGATGATCTTATATAGTCACAGTACATAGTAAAGTTAAATATTATATAGAATATGGTGGTTATCGGAGTTGTAAGAGTACAGGAGGATTACCTTAACTAATATAGTAGAAGTTAATAATTATATAGAATATGATGAAGTTATCCGAGTTATACTCGTTAGTCCAGTACAGTAGTCTCCAGTTAGTTCACGGGGTTTATTCGAGCCGTACTCGTCACAGTTCGGTATTATCCGCGGATTTATCCGGATTTTACTCATCACAGTTGAATATTACTTATGAAATAAGTGACTTAAGTAGCCCTTCAGGTCATTTAAGTAATATATATATATTATATTAACGTACGGTGTATTTAAAATTAATTTTAAAAAACACGATTATTATAAATCAGTGCAAACCCGTCAAACTGTATACCTATATTTTATTATGTATCCATCTGGAAACGGTCTGAAATAAATGTACAACAGAGTTCAAAAATTTGCATAAATATACATTAATGTTTACAGGAATGTTTTTAATTTACTACGAAACGTCTCGTTATGCAGCTGCAGAGAACATTACACACTGTAAAAATTCAATATTTATACATCGTTTTATAAACACGGTAAAAACCATTTTATATGCAATGTGTTTGGACAATTTGTTAGTTCTCTTGCTTTATTGCGAGTAAAAAAGGGAAATGCACAATCTAATATTTAAATGTTATGAACAACGATACAGTATTTCAAACGTTCGTCTGCCATCATGGTTTATAGACGCCAAAGAAAATATCTCATCCATTCTATAAAGATTAATTTTTATTTGGAATCTGTCCAAATTTTCATAAAAGTATATTCTAAAATTGGATATATCTTATCAAAAATATAATTTCCAAATTGAAACGTGATACATGCATCTTTGTGTGGATCGTCAATCATATTGAGGGGTTGGTTAAAAGAAGGGTGGGGATAATATATCTCGCTCGTAAATTCTACACCTAGCAATATCCAAAGAAAAGTTGCAACTGTAACAAGAATCTATTTTTCATTTTTTGTAATGCGAATAGCGATTTTTAAAAAAAAATAATTTATAGAAAACTGTGATATTTCAAATATCAAGAATTTTGTAGTAAATCTCATTTTGTGCCTATCTGTTCTACGATATTCACTGAAATCAGAACGAAATAATTTCAACACTTATTTTGTGGTTAACGGGTATACAATCTGTCAAGTGCTGCCTCAATGTCTTGAACATTCTTTTTTTCTAATATTCGGCTAACGCTGAGATTTTATAAGCATATTTGCACACCTGTTTTGAGATTGAAAGTTGATCAATTTAAAGTATGAACTGGCAAATACTAGATAGAAATTGTACATTTCCAAGATTTTGTCAAACTCACGTTTTGACTTCTTCTTGTATTAAGATGTTGAAACTTAAAATTTCAGAAAGGAACCTGTATTATAATCCCGATTACAACTTAATTGCTACCCTATCGCGAAACTGAAATGTTTGACACATATCTCGCCATTTTCTTTTTGTCTCACAATTTGTAATTAGCACTATAAACAGAAACAAATTACGTTTTTTTTTGTTTTGTTTTGTTTTTGTTTTTTGTTTTTTTGTTTGTTTGTTATTGTTTTATTTTACATATTTCTTAATTTTGTTTAGATAATAATAAAATGCTCGCGGTATTTGAAAAAAAAAACAACAACGAAAATCACAGAAAACCTTTTGAATATGAATCAAATGTACATTTGTACTAACATGACTATTTTGTGTTACATAACTTTATAGGAAAATAAAGTTCAAACGAACATCCTCTTCCCTCGTCAGTAATTAAAACCTTATAGGACTTATCTACATGCAAGGGGCGTCCAACTTAAAATTGTCACTTTTTAGTGTTATTTATGTCCTGATTTATGATGTCAGATCGAAATCCGCCAAAATATCTAGTTATATTTATAGATCATATTCTGATTTAATTGATCTAAACCAGGTCAAGTTTAAAGTACATACTAACTAGATAAATACATATGAATTATCATAATATTTTGTTAGGTGAATGTGCTTTTAATATAAAAGGTTACAAAATGTCGACTTGTACTTTTATTGAATGCAATGAAACAGAACGTTATGCAATAAATCGTGAACCCACGGACAGGTCGAGGGAGGAGTGGAGGAGCTAACAATAGCTGTGGTCTTATATATGGCGGAGCAGGTCGATGTTCGTGCTCAGTAACCACTAAAACACATCTGGAGAGACAAACGATGATCGATCTTGTCCAAAGTTATTTATGGCTAAAGGAAAAGAAATAAAATCTACGTAATTACTTATTACCAATAGGCGGTAAATATGCATACTGATCTATAGGGTACATTGTGGTCTGTCGGACAGGGTTACGAGGTATAAGTTTGTAACTTGTGATTCAGAAACATGGTGACATGTTTTTAATCAACAGAATGGATGCAAAGTCCGCTTTAGTTCCGGGTTTTCTACATTTAAATGAGCCAGGAAATAGAGAACAGTAAATTTCTTGAGAAAGGAGAACTAGTTTCCTGAAAATCGTTCCATGCCCACTCAGGGTCATTTGATTGGTCGCTTGACTGGTTTGTTGGTTGGGTGATTGGTCGGTCGGTTGGTAGGCTCATCGGTCGGTTGGTGGGTCGATTGTTTGTTTGGTTACTTGGTTTGGTTGATGGTTGGTCGGACGGTCAGTTGCTTGCTTGGTTACTTGGTTTGATGTTTGGTCGGTCGGTGAATTGGTTTCTTTGTTCGATGGTTGGTCGGTTGGTTGCTTGGTTACTTTGTTTGATGGTTGGTCGGTTGGTTGCTTGGTTGCTTGGTTACTTGGTTTGATGTATGGTTGCTTTGTTACTTGGTTACTTGGTATAGTGTTTGGTCGGTTGGTTGCTTTGTTACTCGGTTTAATGTTTGGTCGGTTGGTTGCTTGGTTACTTGGTTTGATGGTTGGTTGCTTGGTTACTTGGTTCGATGTTTGGTCGGTCGGTGGATTGGTTACTTTGTTTGATGTTTGGTCGGTTGGTTGCTTGGTTACTTGGTTTGATGGTTGGTCGGTTGGTTGCTTGGTTACTTGGTTCGATGGTTGGTCGGTCGGTGGATTGGTTACTTGGTTTGATTGTTGGTCGGTCGGTGGATTGGTTACTTGGTTTGATGGTTGGTCGGTCGGTGGATTGGTTACTTGGTTTGATGGTTGGTCGGTCGGTTGGCTTACGGGCTTATGACACACAAGTTATTTCCATTTACGAAAGCCGTCAATTTCTTGCATACATTTGTGGTCACAACTACCTGTGTTATTAATGGTAATGACAAGATATGATATGTTATACACATATTTGAAACTTAATATAAAGAAAGTGTTATGACTTGTGTAAAGAAATTAAATGATGATTGTCCCATCGCTCTTCCAACCCCCTCCCGTTGAAACTTCTTACTCCGCAACATTCAAGCATTTTCTTCCTTGCCCTTCCGTACTCTATAACACCAGAAATTAAATCCTCTCTGTTAATTTAACACTCGATACGTATATCTGTAATTTAATGGACTTCGTTTTTATCCGATCGTTTGATATCAGGATTGAAATGCTGATATATAATCTGATAATTATGTAAGTATTTATATAGACATATATATATATATATATATATACTAGATCGTAAAGAGATCTAGATCTAAATGGAACAGGTAATTCAGATACATATTTCAATACCATCTATCAACTCATAAATAACAGCAAATTTACCTGTACCAAATACATTTGTATTAAAGTTTAGAGTTTCAGATGAAATGTATTATAATTTATGTATTTTTTGGAATAGTTCAAGTGCATATTCGGTTTCACGTATAGTTTACAGTCATTAAGTGCATCACATTGAAGAATTTCCATGCACCAAGGTGTACCTGAAGCTGTCGACGTATTCTACAGTACAACTTTGTCTAGGGATCAAAGTATATGGTTTAAGCATTAAACTAAATCATGAAAGAATTGCTCAATTTGTTTAAAAAGTGAAAGGAAGAGGTCTTGTTATGCTTAATAACTTCAAGTTAATCGTAAGTTATGTTTTATTTCGTTGATCAACCTTTCAAACCACGTGAAACAGATATCAACTTTCATATTTTTTTTTCATTTAAAACATATTTTGTCGGTGGGAATGGGCGCAAGTTTTCGAACATAAAGTTGGACAAAATACACATTGATAAGACGAGACAATATGTTTAAATATCAAATCAATAGAATCAAATATAGAAAAGTGAAAAACAATTCACAAATATTTCTATGGTTTAGTGGAAATAAGAAAATTAGCGATTGATAAACAGACTGAACAAATCTACTGTGATAGGAAAGCTTGATCACGGACCATTGTGAAATTTCAGATATCAGAATAAAACAAGCTATAACAGTCTTCTTCAAAAAAGAAATTATTTGTTTATTTCAACACATTAAAAACTTGGCTGGAAAAAATATCTGAAGATATGACCTGTACAAATATAATGTAAAATGATAGCATTGGATTATATGAAACATGAAATATGAATTGTTTCCACCTCGCGTGCTACTCTAAATGTAACATATTACGTGTACCTAGATGAATCGTAGAACTCACGTAGCCTTTTCTGTTTGACCTTACGTGACCCGACCCAATGACCTCGACATTGAGTGACTCCCGCTCGCTACCGATTACATCATTTCATGTCTAGAGTTTCGCAGTGTTGTAATCTTTGTATTTGATAACATGTCGGGTCCCATCATGACGTCACCAACAAATAGTTTCACTAGAACAGATTGGAGTTCTTTATCGTAATTTAAATGATGATAATAACATAAAACAAACAAACAAGTCAATAAGAATGGGTTGACCCGGAGGGTAAAGGGTTGAATCTGCCTGCAATAGTTCAACATATATCTCCTGTCAAAATTACACAATCCACGGTATCGCGTTACAAAATTTATGGCTGAAGTTACAGGCATTCGGGTGTAGTATACAGAGCTATCATCGATGTGTGTCTTTTCATTTGACACTATTCAGGATTTTTTTGGAAATACTTTGAATAGAATTTGACTTTAATCAGTCCCTGGATTGATGCACTTGAACAGCATATTGAATGTAATGAGCGGATATGACCGAATTTATACAACCGGAATTTCCAGTTTCTGCGAGATATTTAACTTTAATTTATGCCTCAAAGAACCATTACACAAGTTAAGTAAGAAAAACACGTTTTCCTGATAGAAATAGTGCAGAGGGGTGAGAATTGGTAAGAATATTTAAGTAAATTAATGTTAAATGTCCCGAGATAATCTCCTTTATCTTCCCAAATATGATCCAGGAAGTTTACCGTCACAGCTCTCACACAGATCTGCATTTTTAATTCAATATTGCGAAATGTACATCTCAACCTAACTTTCAGCCTTTGGTTGTGTCTTGGCATATGTTATCCCAAATCTCGCATTACCTTCAGTAATTGTTTTGTGTTGTCCATTTGATTTCAATTCCTTACTGTAAAAATTGTCGATCTTCCTCTCACAGACAAGAAGTTCAGAAACCTAGCAGTACATTCCACCTTGTAGTGACATTGTCCTTTCTGTTAAATGACAAGTGACTCGCTATCTGGAACTATATCTCGATAATACATTTTTTCCGTGCTGCGGTCACCTTGACTTCCCATCGTCTGTCCCTTTCATTCTGATTTAACTATAATCATCATTATGAGTTGTCCATTAAAACCATTGACCTGTCCTTGAAAAACGAAAATATGTAAATGGAATATATATATTTTTATGTACTTTAGCCTTGAAGCATTGGTCCCTGACCTGGACGTGGATGGACAGATACATTCTTAAACGTTAAGTAGTATTGATAAAAAGTTCATGATTAATCAAACCCGGTTTCATTCATGGTAGCCTGACAGTTTTTGAGTCAAACACACGCACTCGCCCTTCAAATAGAGGACCGCCACAATCGTTACCGAAATTGTGACCTTATCATGTCAACTGTTTCACCTAGCATAACCCGACCGAGTGACCCCGACCTGAAGCAACCCCTATTGCGTGTCCCGACAGTGAACGACCTCAGACATTGGGTTTGTATGCGAATGAAAGGTCCAGAACTGTTTTTTTAAACGTATATAGGTCATGCTTAATATCCGAATTCTATTTTGTTTGTGGAAAATTCGTCAAATATGGAGCCTGATATCAGAGGTATGGGTCTTGTGCTGGGTTTCAGCTCCAATGTTATATAACAACACTCATCCTAAAATCTCAGCTATTACAAGGACTTCATCAACGATGGAGAATATGTTACACTTTTATTGAAATTATTAAAACATAAAAGTTTAAATGCTTGAAGTGCACCATAAATTGCCACGCGCAGTACAATTATAAACACAATACGTGTTTACAGAAGTCTTCACTTCGACCAACCTGAGAGTTAAAACATTAATTGTATACATGTTTGTGGACTTCTACCTGCGTCTCCAGATACTATCTTTATTTGTCGCGGCATATCATTGTATTACAGCCACAGATTACACTATCTGTAAACGTGATCTGCTATCTACACGACACACACACGCTGTAAAAAAAACACACAACGAATCTAAGTCAAGGTCTATAATAATGCGACAATCACACGTCTATTTATAGTGTTAAGTTTTTCGGACAAAACGGGAGACTAAATCTCGTTAAAGCTTGTCTTATGTTTTGATATGTATAATCTTTAGAGTGAAATGTACAGTCTATGTTATACACGTGTGTTTATTACAGTTACATGTATATCTTCCCGCCTTCCCCTTCTCTCCGCCTTTCCTGAGGCTCATGTGGGATAATCCCGTCTGTGAACTGTCCTGTTTTGTTTGGACATATGGGTCACTGCCATTCAAAGAAGATATGATTTTCCGGGTTCCCTGTTAACGCTATGAACATTTATAAACTTTCTCGAGACACGAGTTGTAAAGTATTCAAGCTCCATAACGTTATCCACCGTGTAACCTAGATTTTCTTCCAAAAGATTCGTCTGCTATTTTGACCCCGAAGCACGTTTACGCTACCCCGGTCTGAGTTGGTATTGCAGAAATAACATCGGATGTGATATATATGTGAACGCTACCTTCTTGTCGTCCACACCCCCAGCCTCATCATACCCTCACCCCCGGGGAAGGGTTGACCAGGGTGTGGCTAGATGTGGAGGGACGCATGCAGTGGCTTTAAATGTCTCTCCGTGTGAGGACGCCTCCTATCGGAGACAGGTAAACATTTTCACTGGTTTGAGGAGGACGAAATCGTCACATAAATTCTCACGGTGTTAGATTGGTTGACATCTAAACTGTTTAGATAAATGACAATCAGGTTATTTTCAAGAATTGAACATGTTTATAAGAATCTGTTATAATAACCCAGCTATTGTAGCATAGTTTTAAGTAAAATTAAGTAATTAGCACAGGTGAGTGTTTGTGAAGGTGGGACACATATGTGCACGAATCGGTAAGGTTGATGTGGAACTACACGTATTCAAACTACTTGTGGTGCATGTGTGTGTTTCTCCATGCGCCCAATCAACATGACCTTTAACCTGTTTCATCTCCCCGTGTTACCTATCCCCACTTTATATATAAATTGTGACTGCTACATGCACCTGTACATTTGATATATATATACAAATGATTATAGTCACACTGTTTAGAATTTTATGTATTTCTGTGTATAGTTTACTATCACAGAAAAAGGAAACAAAATGACATTTATGATGTTCACCAGATTGCACCTATGAATAATAAGAGGAGTTAAAACTGCTATAAATTGTTGATTGCTGAAATTGTTGCACAAGGATAAACATGACTCAAGTTTACTGTTTATAAACATAATTTGTAACTGAGTGCGAGTAGACTAAATGTGAAGCTAATATCACTACCTACTGTATTTGCAGTTCAATTAATTTGTTATTATGACATTCCGAAAACCCTGCCATCATGACATTGCATGACATTTCAATAAGCCTTCCATTTTAGCCTTGTATGACATTCTGAATATCTCACTTTTACAACTTTCTATGACATTTTAATACATTTTCAACTATACCTTTGTGTAATTTCCTCGAAATCCAAATATAATGACTTTGTATGACATTTTGATATTCATATAATTCGAATAAATGGACTTATATAGTATAGTATTATCATCTCGGTTACTTTTCCTTACTAATATTCCAAGAATTAAATTCTATATCCATTTTGTGTGAATTTCCAAATTCTTGTAGTTACCCTCAATAGTGTTCTCAAAGTTCGAAAAAAGCAATCGTTATATTGTATATTCGAGTTTCAGGTCCTTCATTTTGGAGAAACATTAGTACTTCTATAACTTGCATTATTCTTGGTGTAGCTATTGGTGACATGACAGTGCATTTCACTGCGATAGCATTTTAACGGCAGAGATGCAAAGTTTTTATGTATGTTAACAGATGTAGTCTTAATAATATAGGCATCAGTTATCAAGACATGCAATTGCTCACATGCTCAGCATCTGTCTGTGCCATGTCAACTTTACCCTTAAACAAGTTCCAATCGTCCAAAATGCAAAGGGTCATGATATTGTTTTGCCAGCTTCCTGGGGTGAGGGTCTCCCAAGTTTGTTTAAATGAATGACCTTTGCAGAGTCAAATGTATAGAAATATTTAAACAACATCTTAGTAGCTAAGAGATCCTGAGTCATAACATCAAGCCAGTAGCTTGACCTTGACACACTTTCAAGATCAACAGTGTTGAATGTACAGAAATCTTTAAGCAACAGTTGCTCAATGAAAAACAAAATCCCTGGCCCATGACATTGGGCTAGTAGCATGATGAAATGAAAGATCATGATGTTTATTCAATTGAATGATTTTGATAAACATTCAGGGCACAGAGGTCAAACATGTCAGTCTTCAAACAACTTTCAATAATCAAGAGGCCATGTGTCATGATATTTGGCCAGTAACATGCTAGAGCAAATGACCTTGGTCTTTTCCAAATTCACATATTCAAACATGTGAACATCTGTAAACAATTTTTTTCTTCTCAAGAAAGGTCTTGGTAATGATATATTTGACAAGTAACATGCTGGGATGAAGAGCTGCAAAGTTTGTGCAAGATAATGACCTTGACCTACTTTCAGTAAATGTCACAGGTGTCAAATGTGTGAAAGTCTTTAAACATTTTCTCAATAACCAATAAGATGATCTTAAAGAAAGAGTATGCTGTTTGGAACACTGTGTTATCAAGATAAACTCTTTCAATTCAGTTGTTTCTGCAGACTTTCAAGCCATGAAAATTTTATGGAGTGTAATAGAGTTGAGTTTGGTAGGAGCTGGCACAAAATGCTAAAGATGTCCTGTCTCTCTCTGATTTAGTGGAATTTCTCCATTTACATAATTTGCTTACTGATTCCAAACGATGACACCAACATACAGAAGAGCAGAGCATTTTTGTCTAGGGATTTCTAGTTTGTGGCCAAAGATTCATAAATTACTGCTTTGGTATTATTTTTTTATATAATACAGAGTGCATTTTATCATTGTGCAAAGACATTTATTACACGTGCTGTAAATGTACCTATTTTGGCACATTTTTTTCTAAGCGCAATACCAATTTGGAAAAACAATCGCAGTGAGGAATTTGTGCATTTGCAATAATTCCTATATTTACAGACAGACACTGTAATTAACTTGATCATATTTTAGCGCAATCTCTTAGCACGAAAAGTATGAAAATAAAATTACCACAAAAATAGGCAAGTTTACAGAATCTGTTTTAAATCTGTTTGTTTTCTGTAAATGATGTAAATTCAATGGGCCCTATATACAATTGCTGAAAACAGGTCCAGAGGTGGGCTTTCACAGTAATATAGCATATATGTTGACACATGTTTTGAACCTGTGTTATTGAAAGGGATGGACTTATTTCTGGACATATATGGTAGTGTTGTCTTTGGTGCTGTACAATATTTCTTAGTCATACTTTTCATAGGTGCATGCTATTGTGAATAGAGTGCTATTATTTGCTGGTATCTTACAAAATGTTACAGGTTTATTTTGAAAAGTATCATTATTAAACTGCCACTTATTCTATCAATTCTTTGTTCTCATATCTGACCCCTTACCCCCGCAACCCTTCATAAAAAGCAACCTGCAGTTTTAAGCAGTGAATAATAAGAACCTTTCTGATTGGTCAAATATAAAAAATTCAAATTATTTTGGTATTTATCTCAGTTAAAAATATATCAAATTGTAAATATATTCAGTATGTCATGAGAGACACAGCGGTTAGATATGGAACATTGGTATATTACAATGATATACAAATATTTTTGCACACGATGCCTAACATTTACTCAGTTTTACAGTAGACACTACCTACATCAGTTTGGAAAGTATACATTTAGCAGATTGGCGTAAAAATTTGAAAGAGATTCAATATTTTGTTTCCCTTTTAGAAAAATATGATGCTTTTTAGCTGAGAAACCAGATTCTTCATTTTTGCTGTGAAAGCCGAGTTTTACATATTTCAGCTTTATATTAATTGTCCAATAATCCAGGGTTATTGACCTCAGTAGGAAAAAGTCATTACAATTTCTAATGCGATAGAATATTAAATTAACGACACATGTATGAGTTTGAGATCTAATTCCCTGTGTCATATGTGGGTCAAATAAATATGTATAACACCTGAATTACAGATGTAAGTACTTGAGTAACATGTAATGTCTTTCTTGTGTATGACAATTTGAAGTAGTGAGTAACCAAATTAAACTAGAAGAGTGTCAGAAACTCCTGAAGTGACAAATCATGCAAATCTGTCAGGTTGTAAATGTCTTTATTTTGTAGGACTGTTAGTGAAGAAATTCTGACATTTAAGAGTACAGCAATAGAGATTTAGACAGAAAACGTGTTAAGGTATTGATATTAATTTTAAGAAACCTTTTAAGAACATTGAAGTTTTAAACATTATAAGAAAGTAATGGATAAAACGGTGGTGATAAAATCTGACAAAATATGCAACACATTATTATTCAGTGTTGTATATTTATGAAAAGTTTTAATAGGAGTTTAAAAAATGAACGACCATACACGAAAATAGCTGATAAGCTACGGTCTTGGGTTGTGTCATCTTTAGCAGTGTGTTGTCTGTCGGAGTTTTGAATGAGGAAAACACATAGAACTTTTAGTCCAGGAGCTTATGGCTACACATAATGCAGTTTAATAGCAGTGCACATTTGTGATGTAAATTTGGTAAACTTGATCACTGAAAGAGACTTTTGAAACATCTATACATGTTTTTATCTGTAAAAGGGTACCTACTCGTCTGAAGTCAGGTGTGAAACTTCCTAATATACTAGTACTGACAAGATGCCAATTGACTTTCTCCAACTGGGCCCCAATCAATATATCAGTGAACTCACATTTTGATAAGTTTCTAGACAGCACTGCTTACAGACAGGAGGTATAATGGGCTTAAAGAAAAGCCTTTTTTTCATGTCAATTGGCTTCAAATGAAATTTAAATTTGTAGACGAAAAATTAAGTTAAATGGGAATTTTATTTCTTGGCATTTTAAGCGCACATTGTGTTATCTCTTTAAAATCTAGCTGTACTTTTATGATGTTGATATAGGCAAAGATTGAATGTGGGTGGTTAGCTGGTATTTGATAGGGAAAAAACTGAGGGATTGCAAGCAATGATAAGATTATTTGCATTCGGTTCCTTTGATATATTTTTTTGGAAACGTTGCTACTGTTTTTACTCCACATTTTGTGCAGCCTGGGTGCATGCATGCAGTTGCAGTTACTCTGACACGCTTGTACTGGTTGGGGACATACTTGCACTAGTTGCCCATTTGCATATCCATACAGAATCCATTTGCAGAACCATACAGAATATTGAAAATTTGTGTATTATTTTAAGAGTTTGACATCATGTCATACTTCTTTTATTTATCATGTAGTTGTTTTCCAACTTTAAGAAATATTTCTTGCATATCCAGAGAAAAAAAGAAAAAATTAGAATCTTTTGGTATTTGGAGACCTTTAGCATTTTCATTATTGCTTTAAGAAAACCTGTAATTTTATTTTTTGTTTGTAGTGAATAATATTTTTGAATTACATGTATAGAACTTCAGGTATATGTTATATTTTACTTTTAAAATCAATAAAATTAAATGAGTTTTATGGGTCAAAGAAAAAGTTGCTATTCAAAAATGAAACCTATTATTTTAGTTTTG